TAGTAAAGCTAGAGAATATTTTACTGGACAAACTCAACAAGATGTGGAAGAATATGTTCTAAATGTGTGATATGTGAGAAATATCAAGAATTCTTTAGACTGTGATCTACCAGAGAGAGACCTGGCAAAAAGTTGCTGTGATTCTTTACCCTAAAGGACAACAGTATCTTTATGATAGACTACTTTTCAAATATGTAGAGCTGAAACCACTTAAAAGTATAATGCTCAGCTGTAAATGACTGTTATGAATCTATTTTTGCAACAATGAAATACCAAGAAGCTCTCATGATGGGGGACCACCATACAACTCGGAAGCATTGCGGAAATTTCTTGAAAGCATCACATCACCACATTTTCCCTAGGCAATGGCAATGAAAGATCTGTCCAACTCTAAGAAGTTCTGAGCAAGCGTGAAGAAGGAAAAACTGTATTGTTTTGCTAGATTATAGAATTCAACCTGCAAAAGATTTGCAATCCCTGGCTGAATTATTAATGGGAAGAAGACCGAGATCTTTTCTGCCATCACATCTTAAAGCATAGCAATCAAAATTTCAAATAAAAGGTGCAAGTACAGCATTAGAAAAAAGGCAGATGGTGAAAAAGAAATATGCCAATAAACATGCAACCCAGCTTCCAAAACTTCATAAAAATGATAAAGTGTGGTTCAAATGGAAAATTAAAGAGCCTTGGAAACAGGGTATCATTATGAAGACAAGTCCTCAACCAAGATCTTATGTCATAAAAGCAAATGATGGAACTGTGTATAGGAGAAACCGACATCACATTCGTAAAGACAAGTCTACGTGGAAATGACAGAGTGGAACAGACAGCAGAAGATTGTTGGACTTGATCATCAACACTGGATCAACCTGTTCCTGTAGATAATGATAGGCAGGATCCACCTAAGGAACAGAAAATGATTCTATAAAACATTCTCAATTCCAGGAAATGTGTCAACTGAACCAATGTTAAGACGATCAGTAGAAATAGAATAAAACCTCTTCGATATAGAACAATTAGGAAGAACTTATTGATGCCAAAATCTTACTTTTATAAGACTAATTATGGAATTTAATGACTGTTCAGAACTCTAAAATATCATTTTAATTAGTAAGTCACAATTTTAAAGATTTAGTGAGTCATCCAGGTATGTAATTTGCGATGTTCTCTAAAGTCAACTGTAAGTACTAATTTAATGTTAAATGTTTTCTAGTTAATGCTAAGTAGTGATGTAAAATATTATTGTAATAAGTTAGGTAACATGCACTATCTTGTTCTAATATAAATAAAAAAATAAATAATAAATCTTAAAATAACTCTTGTAAATAAAAGGGCAGATATTAATTATTTGCTGTGATAGTGGCAGTGCCTCTAACCTGACTAGCTAGGCAAGTGCACAGTATTTGTGCTGCGTCACATTCTCGTCACTTGCCGCCAACCATGTAGCATCAATGTCTCTCTTATGTATAAGTAATCTTATTTAAATGTTTGACGAGTCAACATATATAACAGGTCATACTGTTTAATTCTATTAAATACTTCTGTAACATGTTTCTTATGTTGTTTCTCAGTTTCCAATGCTATTAGAATGTCGTCTAAATATGGAAAAATAAAATCTAGTTCTATGAAAACTGCATTAATGAATCTTTGAAAGTGGAAGGAGCATTTCTTAAGCCAAAATTCATTACATTAAATTCGAAAAGTCCAGATGGAGTTATTATAGTTGTTTTTTGTTTATCTTATTCTGCTATTGGGACCTTGTAATAGGCTTTAAGTAAATCAAGTTTAGAAAATATTGTTTTGCCTTTTAAAACGTGGTTGAAGTCTTCAGTTCTGGGTAAAGGGTAGCGATCTGGTATTGTGACATCATTTAACCCCTTCATGCCGACTGTCACGTCTACGTGCCAGGCTACTCACTTCCCGGCCGACACACAGGCGTGCCAGAGCATTTTCCCGTTCAGCCCCAACTGTCATGTATTTGTGCCAGTGTCCTGTAACGTTTTAAAAACTATAATTTCTGCCACAAGATGGCACTGTATGTCGATATGGTTTCAAATACATGTACATTAGACCTTCTACTCGAAATGAGAGAAGCATGACTCACATACACGTGTTTTTGATTATATAAACAAGGGAAAAAAATGTTTCCGAATGGCGTGATTATGACGTCTCTAAATTCGCAGTGGTAGTTTTTTATATAAGTAGAGAATTTTATTTTCGCTAAGCGTTGGGTATTCAGTTTGCAGTTCAGTTTTAAAATAATTAAATCTTGTTAAATGAATTCTTTCTGTTTTTACCTTGCAATGTCAAGCGTGAAAATTTAAACAGAGCATGAAAATAGCAGAATATGATGCAAAATATTTCAGATATTGATTCTAAATTCTGATATTATATATTGATTCTCAAAGATTAACTAAAAGACATTTTCCAAAACTTTGTTCAGAGAGACTGATAAGAAAATGAGACGACGATGCTTCGTTTGGTCACATTCCCGGAAAAATCCTCCAAAACGGCAAAAGAAGTATTACGAGTGAAAGGAATGTACTAGAGTGTGTGTAGATCCCTGTTTTCAAATTTTTCATACGAAAAGAGAATTTTAAGTAATATATTTAGTTTCAGATGTAAATGTTAAAAGTCATGAAATGGTAGTAATGAAAATAAAATGTGTAAATATGCATTTAAAAGAATAAGGTATTAAGGTATATATAAAATATCTATAAAGCATAAGCTGTTTAAATACTCTATAGAGCATTATTAAACAATGTGTTGATACTTCGGAAATTTCATGGATTTAGGCTTAATAGCAAAAAAAGCCCCCGGCCCTGGACAGATGCTTGCGTAAGACACTGCGCCGGCCTCCGTGATAAATGCGCGTTTGTGCTACTCGGCGCGAAGGGGTTAAACACTAACTATCTCTGCCATGGTCTCAGGGTGCTGTCTTTTTTTTTGGACTAAATGAAGTGGGCTTGCCCGTGGTTCGATGAGGCTTATAATATTATTTTTAAGCATAAAGTTGAATTCTGATTTGGATATTTCTAATCTTTTACGATCTAATTCTCGCACTTTTGAAAAAACTGGTTTGCCATTAGTAAGTACGTTTAACATTATGTTTTCTTGTAGAAGTAAATCAGGTTTTGTGATTTCTGGAAATTGTGCCAAATCGTGAAATCATGTTTTAAACATTTTTCCAGTTACATGGTAGCTTAGATTTTTCGAGAAAGCATCTGGATCCGAAAGTGACATGGTAATAACACAGCTTACCATCCGGATTACAACACTTCCGACTTCTGCCTCTAGACGATGATCTGTTTTTCTTTCTGAATGATGACTTCTTTTATTTGATTGGTGATGGAGATGGGAGTTCTTCAATCTGCTTTTCCAATGAAGGTATTTTTAAGGTAATTGCTAAGTGTTTGGCGACGCACTCGAATTCTTAACTTAAGTTGAATGAGCCTCGTATAAGTCAAATGTTGACAAAGCCATAATCGTCAATTTATCAATACCTTCATCACTAACCACCAATATATCTTTGAGACAGTGTGGCAATTTGTCCATCCATAATGTTTTTAATACCATGGCAGACATATCACTAGTTGCCATGGATTTCATTTTTTGTAATAGATGGCTGGGTTTCATGTTGCCAATTTCAATGCCAGTGAAAAGGTGTTTGATTCGTTTATTTTCACCATCTTTAACACGTTGAGCGCCACGTCAGCCATCTGTGGCTGACATTAGATTTTCCGTTTAGGCCACGTCAGCCAACTGTGGCTGATACTAGATTTTCCGTTTAGGCCGCGTGAGCCATCTGTGGCTGACACTAGAATTTCTTTTTAGGTCGCATCAGACATCTGTGGCTGACACTAGATTTTCCATTTAGGTCGCGTCAGCCATTTGTGGCTGACACTAGACCTTTTCGTTTAGGCTGCGTCGACCACCGCTGGCTGACAGCATGTAACATGATACATAACTATAAAATTTACACTGTTTTATGAAATTACACAAAATTTATTTAAAATTTACTTAATTTTGATTTTGATTCATTGGATTTCATTGAAACACAGTAAACATAAAAACGGTTATCCATTACAGCTATTACAAATGTGACAACACTCTTTAGTTTTTTTCTGGCCATTACTCTACCAGCTTCTGTCGCATTTTTATCATAACATAATTTACAATATTTTCGTACTTCAGAGGCTTTTCCCGGTTTTCTCCGGAGTTTATGTTGTCATTTTCTAGATATTCTTATATTTTTGTTCGACGGAATGTCTTCTTTTTCACAACTTGTTGCTATCTTCTACCACGATACGAATCACTGGCCCTGCAATACCAGCGCTTTTAAGTGAAGCGCGTGGCCTGAACGGGATTGCCTAAAATACACGCTTGGCGCTCAACGTGTTAAATATATTATATCCCAAATAGTATCTACATATTTAGGTTCTATTTGTGAGACAATGTAATCAAACTTAGTATTTTTATTACTTATAAGCACTAATTTTAAACTGTGCCTTTATCTGATAAAACCAAATTTCTGGTTTATCTATCCAAAAAGGTGGAATTTTTTATACTGACCTTCATAGTTTCTGAAGAATTCGCACCATTTGACTGGTTTTCTGTCTTTTCTGTATTTTCAATAATATTTACCATTGGTAACTTCAGGTCACCAAATAATGTAGTGGTTGCTACATCATAAACATTACTTTTCTGGTTTAAGAATAACTTTACACTACTAAATTTAAAAGAAAACAATTATGCCCCTTTTTAAAGATGGTGTTTTTAAACATCATTCTACCACTATTTTCGTTTCTACTGCTGCCACTCACAGTCTACATAAAGTTACACAAAAGAAAAGATTACATATGATTTGAAGAGTTTACAACATTATCATAAATTAAATTTATGCTTTGATTACATATTACTTTGTTAAGAAAAGTGTCAAAATATAACACTCATATAAATGCTAATGCATAAAGGAAAAATTAAAATACTTATTTCCTTACTCTTTGTTTCTGCTTTTTGTTTTGTGGTTTTCGTTTCTGCTCTCCTTCAAGACATTCAAGTTTCCCAAAAAGATTCCCTAGTATTCTTTCCAGATCAAACTGTACACCACATGGATTCACCCGAGCATAAAAGATGTTATCCAGAGCTGATAATAGAAACATCACAAAAAAAGGACATAATTAAACACATACGTAAACTATTACTTAATACAGAAAATATGTTCTTTACATAATATTGAGTAGCTTTACAAATGAAATTATTTTTTACAAGCTTTGTACTTTGATTGCATCTTACTTTTTAATAACACAAATTTATCAAAATAGTACACGGATATATTTATTGTGCTGACTGGCAAGGCCATTTTTACAAGCTTTGTACTTTGATTGCATCTTACTTTTTAATAATATATATTTACCATTATTATGGTACATGAATATATTTAATGTGCTGATTGGCAAGGCCATATACACTGCCCTCCAAAAGTTAATGAACATGTTCTGGCATCTAATCTGAAAAATGAAACAACACAGAAACTAAACATTTAGCAAACATGTTCACTAAACAGTTCTTTAATGAAAGTGACTTAGAATGCTTCTTACGATCAACACAAACATGAATTAAAATAAGAAATTTCACTCTTGGCAGGGAAATCCAGTCTTGGAGAAACAGTATATCACAGATTTTCGAGGGCAAATGTGGTGGTAATATTACAAAAGTGGGTTCTAATAAAGAATGTGTTCGGCCCTCGCTGCAATACATTGGTGGCAGCGATGTTCCATGCTGTATATTAAGTTCTCGGTCAGTGAAATGGGAAGTAACGACCAGATATGGAGTAATCCTTTTTCAAGCTCATCCAAAACCTTGGAGAAGGATTTAAAGTGGCAACCTGTCTCCCAAGGTAGTCCCAAACATGCTCTATTGGATTCAAGTCTGTGGGTTGAGCTGGCCATTCCACATGCTCTAAACTGTGGCCCTCAAGATATTCTTCATCAACTCGAGCTCGATACGGTCGCACGCACTATTGTCTATCAGAAGAAATCCAGGACCAATAGCAGTGGTATATGGGCAAATATATTGATCAAGGATCTCGTCTCGATATCTCACACCAGTCAAAGTTCCTTCATTGAACACATGCAGGTCAGTGTGACCACTGAGAGAGATCGCATGTCAAACCATTATTCCACCACCTTTATAACTGTGTCATTTCACAGTGTGGGATTGGTTGGATCTGGTACGTTGTTCCCACCAGATCAACTGACAACCTGAATTACTCTCCCATGCGAACCTGGAATTTTCTATGAAGAGAACAGAAGCCCATTATCGAGTGGTCCAGGAGACATGTTCTCTTGCCCGCCATAATCGGGCAGTTCTGTGTCCTCGGGGCAAGGGGATCCAAACAACTGGTCATCTAACATACAGGCTTCTATTCCACAGGCATCTGCACACTGTAGAAGCTGAGATTCTTGTTCCTGTGACTCCCAAATGGTCTGGCATGAGCTCAGGCACAGTAATGTAGCTCCTTCTACAGGCCGAAAGGGCTAAATAACAGTCTCCCAAAGGTGTTGCAACTCTTGGTCTGCCTGGAACATGTCTTCTAGACAGAGTCATCGGATTCAAACTGATTCCACAGTCATTAGACTACACTGCGAGAGACATATAGACATGTAGGAGAATCAGCTAGTGACATCCACATTTCCAACCATCCGATAGCCGGCTACCTCAGCAAATCGTGTAAACAACTTCTCCTGGACATTCATAGATTCTCCTGGATATTGTCACCGAAATTGCTAATAACAATTAAATGCCAACACTCGTGAATGGAACTTACAACTTTTGCTTTTTTTCTTCAACTCTTACATATGCATTCATTTCTTTCATTTCTATAAAATAAAAGTGCTAGCTATTGTTTTCACATATATTTTCTTAAACTTTGTTACTATCATGCATATAAATTGTGACTAATGATGAGCTAATGATGAGCTTTGAAAAACAGGTTGTTAGTTAACTTTTAGAGGGCAGTGTGTGTATATATATATATACCTCATCATTTGTTCATTCTTTCAAATATAGAAGCAGTTCTCTTGCTTTAACCTTAGCTGCACTGGCCCTAAAACCAGAAACTTCACTGTCTTCACTCTCAGTTCCATTAAACAGACAAACATTCTGCTAACAAATACATGCAGTCTTTGATGGTGAAATTCTTTTATAATCGCAAAATGAAATAGAATGGTACCCTGAAAATTTTTTTTCACAAACTCCATTTAATACTGTCTATTATTCCCTGGTCCACTGGCTGGTATTGGGGGTGGGAGGCCATAACATTATCACACATTATAATGTTTGCATTGGATACACAGAGCAGTTGCCTAACAATAGTAGAATCTTGCTATTTGACGGTAACCCCACACAGTTACAATGCCTTCTAGCCTTTTTAACAAAATGTTCCATGAATCATTCAGTCATAAGTTGTTTCATTAAGCAGGAATTTTTATTATTCCTGTAAATCACAGGTAAGGATTTTACTCCTTTCAGAGCTCTGGGATGGGATCTTACCCACTGGTTCATATTTGTAAGTTCTAGCTGCATTGGTACATACTAAAATAATAACTCTTTCTTTGGCTTTTTTCAGAAAACACTGCCAAAAACATCCAGTCTTATCCACGTTAAAAATCTATTTGATGCTAAGATTTTCTTTTGCCCCAGAGCATCTTTACCTGCTGAAAGTTTTTCAACCACAGGCTTTCAGATAGCATATACCCTATCTCTGCTTAAATCTGTTCAGCCAACTGCAGCTGAAATCGCATATCTTTTTTATTCTCAAATCAGTATGAAACTGTTTTCCGTTTCCCTCAGAAGCAATCTGAAATTGGTAACCCTCACAACCCGTTCCCCGATTCACTCTTACAAGACATCATTGAGGTTCCCCAATTCTGCCTTATACAAAAATTTCTGCTTTAGGATTCCAGTGTTAGAATCACCATTGCTATAAAATTTCAACAGCTTTTCTTTGTTTTTCTGTATATCATATATGATCCATGTAGTGATTCCATACAATTCTGCTATAAACTGAATAGTATCACCCTCCATCTTTTGAAAAATTTCCACTTTTTGCATTACCATCAAAGCCAGATATTTATGATTTGGTGTCTCTGTTAGTACATCATTATTTAGTAAATATTTCTCTTTTCTTTGGTATTTTGTACTCCAAATTGCAGTTTCCTAAATCTATAAACTGAATGTTTATATTTTGAGAGGCTGCACATATTTCAGGAGTTTGTGGATTTCAGGTTGGCGGATTTTTGTTATTTAACTGTATATACAGTTGATAATATCTTAAGTCTTTAAAAAAATTATATATATACATCTAAAATATGTCCAAGAAATTAAGGCAATATATTAAATTAAATGTCCAAGAAATTAAACCAACGTATAAAGTTCCAGGGGCATTTTGTCATTAAAATAATACCTCTTTCTTACGTCAATTTTGGGAAATTTGAGCTCTCCTAGCAAAATCCTGTGCCAGTCAAAGGGTTAATATTCCTTCTCATGGAACTCAGGCATTTACTATTTAAAATAACAGAGGAAGATGCTTAATACTCTCACACATTTGAATTAAATGGATTTAGTACATTAAGGGAGATTAATGTAAGAAAAATCAGTATGAACCCTTAAATGGACCTTTACCTTTTAATGCATCCCAAGGAATGAGTTTTCACATTTAGTTAATATTATTTTATTAAATTGAAAAGGATTTAAGTGTGATCTTCATCAATTTCAAATGGAAATACCAGATCTTCATCAATTTAAAATGAAAATGCTAAGTGTTTTAACACATTAAAAATAAATTATTTAATTTCCATTTAAAAAATTTGTAATTATTTTCATAATTAACTGATTACATAATTGAAAATTATTTGCCAAATGCATAACTTATTTACTGTTTTAGCTATAGACTTAAAACAAAATATTCCCTACTTTTATTGCAGGCATTAGAAATTCTTCTCGTTGAGACTCTGAATAAATGTTACAACTGAACAATGAACTACTTCAATTACTCCATTACATTCTGTTTGATTTAATAATTAAAGATTCTGACTTTTTTTTAAATTTAGGTATCAATGCCTACCTTTGCACCATTTGGCAATTTCTTACAGATGAAAAAATAAAAATTACTTTTTGAGCACAAGTTGGTAGTTCTCATGACTTTTTAAAAAAGATTCTCAAACTATCAATATTTATCTAAGTTGGTAAATATTATCAACATATGAAAAGAAAAAAAACTTTTTCAGTAGTTTTTTTGCTCTATTCTTCTCCTAAATTACAAAGTGCCCTTTTTGCTTAAAAATATCAGAGAATTGCAGAGGCTTAGCACCACATGAACCTCAGCAAGAGCAGCTATTTGCCAAATGCATCTTATAACCTTACCTCCTAAGAAATGGTAAATGCTGAAAAAATTTTCTTTTTTGATGTTCAGGAGATAGCATTGGTAAAAAATGGAGCGGAAATGTACAAGTAAATATGATGTATTTCTGCAAAAGGACCATAGTAAAGAATCAATTTCTTTTCTCCGCTCTTACTAATACTAATATCACTTGAGGCACTTCTCTAGATAGGATGTGACTTATTAACTCTTCTACTGCAGAACTTACATGCTTCCATAGCAGTATAGCAAAGGAAGGTTATATAGAAAGCTTACTTTTAGCTAATATGGGGGATTTTTGTATGTAACTGGCATGATTGTCCTATGAAGCCTATTAAAAGTTATACTTTTAGGAAGTATTTCTTAAATACATAATCACTTAGGCAAAAATGTTTGTTCAGCTAAATGTAGCAAAATGCAGAAGAGCTATGTGCCTAAGAGGACAGGTGCTTTTATGAATGACATTCTAATGGAATCTGGATTGCATTGGGCCACCCAGAATGTTCTGCAGTTTTTCAAATCAAAATGCATTTTCTTCTAATTATTTTTTCCCCAATAATGCTAAGAATGAAGGACCCAGAAGTTCATTTTCATCATGCTATGTTCTTTTATTTTAAAAAGGGAAAAAATGGTAGTCAGACTGCTTGCAAAATTTATCCTATATATAGACAAAGTGCTGTTTCTGATGACACAGTCTGAAGGTGGTTTGAGAAGTTCAACTAAGGAAATTTCAGCTTTGAAGATGATATCCATTTTGGATGACCATCCGGTATATAAACAAGGACCTATTAAAAGCAGATATCATTGAAAATCCACATTATACAGTTCAGAAACTATCAGACAGTCTAAATATTCCAAACAGTACAGTAAATAATCATTTGAAGATGATTTGGAATGTAAGCAGTTATGAAGTATGGGAACCTCATATTTTAATATAGCAAAATATGTTTCATTCAATCCTGGCTTGTGATTCTTTGCTGAAGAGAAATAAAGAAGCTCTTAAAAAAATTATTACTTTTGTTGGTACAAGAAAAGATCATGACATTAGCCAAAAGAACCTCCTTTAGTAACACTTAAGAGGAGGGGCTGCATCCCCAAACGTAATGCTTTGTGTATAGTGGAACTAAAAACTGTTGCCACCAAATTAGACAATAAATTTGGAAAAATACTGTACAAAAATGGCAGTTTTAAAGGCAAAAATCTAAGTAAAGCCAACTGTTGAGATGTTGTTTTCGATCATGAGAACACCCATGCTCAGTCCTACATTTTGATGAATGTCAAGACAAAGAATTATTCAGCATAGCTGGGGTGCTTTATGCCACTTCATATTTATTAGACCTTGCTACTTGGATTTTCATCTCTCCAGGTCACTTAAATATTATCTGAATGGGCTGCAGTTCACTTATTTTATAAATAAAAACCTAACTTCTTTCTTAAAAAAGGAATTTTCCAGCTGCCAAACAGATGAAAAAGGTAATAAAATAGAACAGGGCTAACGTGCTTCAATGAAATTTGCCTTTTTTGGGGGGAAGGTACTGTTTCATTTGTAGTTATCAAAAAATGCAGAACTTTTCAGATGACCCAATATTTATATTTATTGGGAAAACCTCATTTTAACCTTTATTTTAGTCTCAGAGAAATAAGACTTTAATTTAGGATTAAAAAATGCTTAACATTGTCATTAAAAATAATCAAGACACAATGATATTCCCTCAGATAAATAAATAAGCCATTATACATAACATGAAACTAAATTATACATAACATGAAACTAAATTCTGTATCCATATGATGCTGGTTAAAAGTTAAATATTCATTAGCTTTTCAACCAAATGAAAGAATTATGATTGATAAGCCATGCCAAATCTTGAAGAAGAATGATCATTATTCTTTCACTTTTGTTGTTTTGTTAGAAATGTACTCAATACGAATGTTTCATTAATATTCAATGCTAGACATTAAAATTAAACATAAAAAATATATTCTAATGATAATTATTTCAAATATAAAATTTAAAGATTTTTTATGATCTGTGAAGACTATTCTCACTTATTTAAAAGCTACTTTAACATTATGTTTTCCATGACTGTCCTTTAGTGACATCCTTTGATTGTCTATTATTTCAAATGAATCTTTTATATGGCAGATGATATTAATTTATTTTGTGTATGAATGAAATTTCGGAAAAGAAAATATTTTTCAAAAATTCAAATAGTTTTCTGCATTTTTAACTATTTTTAAATTACACAGATTGAAAAATTCAGCAGTTTTCCTAAAACAACAAAACTATCGTGATTAAAATGCAGAATTGTCTACGCAGATTTAAAGCTGTGATTGTTCAACATATACTTGTACACTAAAGAATGCATAAAAAAAGTTAATTTAAATTAAAAAAGTGCCAGGTAAAGTCATTTTTTACTTAAAGCTGCAAATCAGTACCAAATTTTAAATACAAATAACTGCAAAATCACACACAATTTCTATAAAATTTAACATTTAAGCATAATTTGAGGTGTGGAGTCAAGTTATGGAAAAAAATTGTCATATAATTATAGATGAAGTATTAAGCTGCACTGAAAAAACAATTCAACAACATTTATGCAATATATAAACCTTATTTATAGCTTCTGCGATTCCTTCTACTGAAGTTTATATATGCATTCTCTTTGAAGTAGTGTATAGTCATGTTTTATCAATGTTTGAATTTTTGTCAAGAAACCATTATATGCATCAGCTGCCAATAATACTCATAAAAGAGAATATGAGCATGCCAGAATATGATAACAAATATAATTTATTACCTGCAAGATATTCTGGGCACTCTGTTGCAAAATCCCACCGGGCCAGGTCTTTAAATTTCTGCCTTCTCTTTTTCTTACTTAGCCTTACACATCTTTTTACGAGTCGATTTTTCTTCCCTTGCCTGCCTACTCGAATAACTCTAGTAGGTTTGCCTTTAGCTGGTCTACCTTTTGCTGGTCTGCCTTTAGCTGGTCTGCCCTTAGCTGGTCTACCTTTAGCTGGTTTGCCTTTAGCTGGTTTGCCTTTAGCTGGTTTGCCTTTTGGTTTAACTGGGGCCTTTCTTCTAGCATCCCCTTTATTAGAAATTTTACCTTTTGTAGCAGCTCTCTGCTTTCCATACACCTTTCCTTTACCTTTTGCAGGTGTGACAGCTGGTTTATCCTTCTTTGGAATCCTCATCCTGATAAACTTTTATACAAAAGAGCAAGATCTATCTAAAATTACAACAGTAAAGAATTCAGATAAAGCAATTTGACACTTAATCAAACTAATCATAAATAAAATGCCGCTGCAAAAGTTAAAACTTTTTATTTCAGTACTTTTGACTTGAAAACTATATGTATTAGTTGGCACCTGCCAATACATCACAACACACACACACACCAAAAAAAAAAAAAAAAAAAAAAAAAAAAGATTCCTACAAGTGTTTAGCAGACCTACAGGTGTTTAGGATTTTTCTACAAAGATGTAAGTTTTTATTTCTTCTTTTTTTGTTTATGATCAACTCAAGTGCACATTTGCAGTGCATCTTCCCCCCCCCTCCGTGTTTTTTGTGAGAGGGGGGATAATTTCTGTCCTTCAGAAAGTTAAGATAGCATTTGCTCATTTTGTATTACATTTTGCATCATGTGATAACTAGATTTGCAAAGACCAAAGCAATCTATTTTTTCCCCGCATGTGGTATTTTGCAAAGAGTTGGGAGTATTTTATTTCTCAAGCAACAAATCTGTACATGATAAAACAATGTTAAATGAAAATATAGTATCACGAAAGTGCTGACAAAATGTTAAAATATGAAATTAGAATTGGTTTGAGTCTTATCAAGCAAAGTTTATATGGAGATAGCTATAAGCTGTAGAGAATAATATGTTTGACATGATTTTTAGTACTACTGCAAATGCCTGTTGGACATTAAAAAAATGGTTTAATTGATCTGTTGATGTCAGAAATATTATTTTATCACCAGAAAATGTCAACAGATTGAAGGAGGTGTCACAACATATGTAAGAGTGCCAGTTAATACCCCAGCACCATATTTATATAAAAATTAAACATTTTGCATACAGATTCAGATTATGTCAATAATTTAGCATTTTGTATGTAAGTTAAAAACAAAGTAAACTAATGTTAATCATAACATTAGTTTTTGCTTAGGGCATTTTACTGCCGTGCAAGTTACAACTTAACATCGCCACTGCAACATTAAATCTAGCATAACTCAGAGGAGCTCCAATTCAGCTATTCCCAACTCAATTCTTATAATTATTATTTTTCTACTACCTATTAACTTTCATTAGCTTTCTCTAGCATCCACACCTTACATTAAAAAAAATTACATATAAAGGTGCAAGATATTTTCTAACCCATCAAAATTTTCCACTGATCCCCAATGAGTTATAACTCACAATTTGGGAATCACTGCTTAAGACCATCTGCATTTAACCATATGCTCTGGATGCTGAACTATAATAATTTGAAATTATTATTACATTAGCTACTAATTTATCTATAAGTACTTAATAATGTTTATAAGTGATTTACATATTTTACTGAACATTTAAGAGTTCTAATAGAATTTAGCAAATATAATCACAAAAAAAATAATAATAATAACATAGCCTGAGCTTCTGAGATATCCGTTACTGCATTTGTTACGAACACTAAAGTCTATTCACAATTCTGCTTTGATGTGATGTATATTCTATATAGTTTTTAATTTAAAAGTATTTCAACTCAGCAACACAATATATATTTATTTTTATGCTGAGATTAATTAGTAAAGACAAAGAAACAGTTTAAAATGCTAAATGTATTTTGAAAAAGATACAAATCATTGTTATGTTTTTCAGAGGATACATTTTCAAAATGCATCTCTGGGAATACTTTTTCTTAACTAGACTTCAAAATGGACCTTAATGCATACAAATAATGTGTTTTTATTTAAGCGACACACAGCGTTTTATGCACATAGGAACAATACAATTCTGATATTATGCCTGAAAATATGTATTTTAAAAAATACAAAAATGAAAACAACTGTTCATTTTCTGAAATGCATTAAAAACTTTATCAAAACAAATAGAATTAGTCCATACTATAAGGTATGCTCATTATTTCTGCACGTATTCTAATTTTGTAACAGTACAAATTTGTATTTTGTAACTAATACAAATTTGTATAGCTATATGATCACATATAAATGACATCAAATTCAGATAAGCTGTAACACCAGAGTGCAAGAAATAATCGTCTTTCTTCTTACAATAAAATAAATGGAAGATATTGGGCAATTATGCCAAGCACTTTTGCAATCTTTCCTGTTTACATGTGTCATAACCCATATTTTTATACTGGAATACATATTTAATGATGCTAAACTGAGATAATCTACAACATTTCTACATAAAAAAATACTTCCTTTCAACTGTTAATTCAAATTCAATATTAAAACACAAGAAATAACCAAATTACTTCTCTACCTATTGGCGGCCGCTTACACTTGAACACTATTAAAGCTGGAAGTGGTGGTCACTTTACTGCAGATGGACCTAAGAGGTGGGCCACAATTGCCTCCTATGAAGGAACAGACATGCCTTCCACAGGCTAGACTCCCGCAACCACTATACCATCTGGGTGGCACCAAATTCTAAAATATTTCACAAGAAATCCCGGTACTGTTCTATTATCAGGACCCGATTCACAAATATATGTAGTGTTACAGATTTGGTATTTAAATAGCAAAAGTTGGTTGAATTATAAATTAAATTGTTTTATTCCCTGTGCAGTGCAGCATTTGATGAATATTAAAAGAAAGCTGAGCCAGAAAATTAAAAATACAAGAGCACGTGCATTTAACATTTAATAAAATATATCTTGATTGCAAGAAAATACCAAAAAATCTCGCGTATTTAAAAAATTCATCACATGAGGAATACATCCAAGATGTCCAGGCCCTTGTTTCAACTTGTACTCGTTCAGTCCAGAGGTTTATGCAAATTTTATGTCAAGCGACATAGGTTAAAATGAGAAGCAAAGTAATAACCAGCATTCGTGACAGAAACTTGGCTGCTACCACCACTGTTGCTTGCTAAGAGAGAGATGCTGATTACAAGAGACATGAATGTCTGACACTGGCAAGACTTTTATATGCTCAAAGTTAGTTGCACTTTGTATGTCTAACCCCGTTAGTGTCATAGCTTCATGTAGAGTTGCTAGAGTTATATTTCAGTTAATGTACAGTATTTAATATTAAGTTCCAAAAAGCCGCTGAAGCATCAGAGGTGATAAGTTGTTTTATTTTATTTTAAATTTCATTAGCTGCAAGGAATAAGGTTCACATTCATTTTTGCATTGTATCTTATGCTCACAGTAAAGGTTAGCAAAACACAATAACTCAACACTTAAATATAACTTCAAGGCTGAGAAATTAGTTACAAATACTTATATCTGCACACTTAGATGCCATGAATCATTATATATTTATATGGTTAATATTATTTTCCCCCTAAAACACATCTGTTAAAAAGTACTATTCAAATCATAATCTAAGAACATTTTACAATTTAAAATACAGATAATTATGGATAAAATTTATGATATTGATTCTGAAACAATATTAGGATAATTACACACAAAAAAGCTATAGAACACATGTTTCATAGCAACAAAACACAATAAAATAGTTATGCATCTTTTTAATTAGAAAATTTTTATGATATTTTAGCTAATTTACATGATTTCCTTTTCTTTAACATCTTGTTTCAATGTTCCCACTAGTCTCTGCTTCATTCCTTAATTTGTTAATGTTTTAACAACATACCTTTAGAGAACAATTTTTTCTTTTTATGTAGTCAATTTCTTTCTCAATAACTTTCCTCTACATATTAGAATTTCAGATTTAACTGAAGATTTTGGTTATTCTAAAGAACTGCATGTATTTAGAACATATAGAAAATGTTAATTTTATTTCTTTAATAGTTTGAGTATTGAGAATAAATATGAAATGAGAAGTCATGGATGGCAACCACAGCTAGAGTCACAGAATTTTTAAAAGTTAGTGAAGCAATGAGCAACAAAGTTTATGAATGGCAAAATTTTTTAAATTTAGAACAGACACTGGGCAGCAGAATTTAGGACCCGCAGACATAGCACCATGCAGCAACATATTCTATGCACAGTGCAGTGAGACAAAACAGATGATGTCACTTTCCAACTTATTTATTAACAGAAAATTCCTTTTTATAGATGTCCATGTGAAAAGATGAGAACCATTTTTACAATCTTTTATGCATGTGTCAAGAGAAAAGATGAGAATATAAAGGGAAGATACACATGCTAATCTTTTCAGGGGCAGTATACAAAAGAATTTAAATTGGGGTAAAATTTTGCATGAATTGTAACGTATAGACCCCAAAAAGACACAATTGAGACCTAAAATAAATCTACAGTAAAATACTGAAATTTGAGGGCTGGCATAGATTTTTATCAATGCCCCTGTAAGGCAAATTTTTTTTTTTTTTTTTTTTTTTTTTTTTTTTTTTTTTTTTCATGAAGCTACCAATAGTTAATTTCTGTTTTTTAAATCTACTTTTGCATACTTTCAATGTGTGTCTATAGAAATGGGTGTTTGAACATACTTATTTATATAAGTCTGAAGACAAAATTTCTCTAGAATTTTAAAATTTATGTTTTTAAGCACATTGATGATCCCCAGTTGAACATACTTACGTAAAATATGTGTAAAAGCTTTTGAAAGAGATTTAAATTCAATATTATTATTATATCAAAATATTTAGCAAATATAACACTGTAGGAGTAAACAATATCATGCTCTATCTGAACTAGCATAATGTTACAAGGAAACGTAACTCAGCTGAAAAATAAGAAGTTAATAAATGAAACATTACAACTCAGCTAAGAGATATTAAAGTTACATTTTTGAAATTACTATATTCTATGCTTTAGATCTGCAGTCGTCAACCATTAGAACTTCACGGACAACTACATATATAATTTTATATTTGGCAGATACACTAATATGATTTAAAAATATATATATATATATATTTATACAATAATAATTAGCAGGCTTTTATTTTATAAGGTTATAGAGTAATTATTTTCAAAATTTAAGTATTACATATTTTTAGTGTGATATTTATGCCTGTTTGTTTGAAATCAGTTTGTAGATTTGGGGTTCTAGTGGCGTCACTGAATGGACGTCACTGGAAGACAGAGAGCCGCATTTATTTTAATACAAGATCGGTATTGAGGTCTATTTGCTGTTCGAAATGAAAATGCCTTTTCGCACAAATACGTTGTTGAAAACTGAATTAAAATTTTTATTGCATTTCACTCAGTAATGGATATTCATCTTTTGTCGAGAACCAAAAATGAGGTCTTGATAAAGATGAGTGGAATTTAGTTTTTAAACTGCCGTCAGAAGACAGATCAATGAGGTTTTCTTTTTCATTCAGGCTTAATTTGCTGTCTTCAGTGTTTGCTGAAAATGGATCTATTATCCATATATTTCCATGAAAAAGATCTTCTTAATTTGGATAATAAAAACAAAAAAAAATATGTCAGTGATTGTAAGTGCTGCTGAATAATGGATACCACTTGCTGGTTGAGATCCTTCTCTGCCATATATTGCCATATATTCATTAAAATTTATAAACATTTGTAGATCTCCTTTTACCAACAGCATTTTCCACGGTGGGTTTTTTTTTTTTTTTTTTATTTAAGCACCTACCTTCACCTCGTACTGTAAACATGTCCTTCAGTTGTCCTTGCAAGGATATATTTAGTTCATTTAAATGAGGAAAAACATCTGCCAGATATGCAAGCTTGGCTACCCACTCATTGTCGGACAAGAATTCAAGAAATTCTGAATTATTTTGCTGCTGAAAAAATAATTTGATTTCTTCACTTCTAATTTTAGAAATTAAGCCCTGACTATAATACAGGTTTAAAGCTTTCCACTTACAAGCGATACAGAATAGTTAAGGTAAAATAAGTAAATGAACAAATTTGTATAACTTTATAAAAGAAATAAAATAGTAAATGGATTACTTATACAAACAAACCTTCATGAAGCAAGAGCTGCCTTTGGACGTCTTGATCAGTCTGCTGGTTCCCCAAATAGATAAAATCACATAAAACTGAAATAAAAGTAGAAGATGTAGGCACAATTTAATATAGATATTTTTTATTGCTTGAAATGATTTTATATACTGCAGTTAAAAATCATATGAATACTGTATAAATAAAATAGTGGCTTTTCAATTTATTACAATCAAAAAGCACATTCAAGTCTCAAAATGCCAACAGACACGAGAAACAAAAATAAAAGCTTCTTTCTTGCCAAACTGAATGTGTACAGGAATACATAAAATAGTTACCTGTATTTGTAAGACTGTAATACGTTCAAGTAAACATGGGAAAAGCTTGAATCTAATAACAGATGTGAACTGACGAGCTTTTGGAACGCAGATAAATTTCTCTCTTTTCATTACAAATTTCCCGAAATTTAACTAATCATATTTAACCACTTGCGCTAAAAAGACGTGCCACGCACGGCGAAATGCTTTTGTCTCAAACCGCGAGCGACGTGAACACCAGGTCGATAGGCATTTATCGCAAAAATGAAAATAACATTGTGCACACGTCGCTTAGCAACAAGATTGTTTATTTCTCGAGTTACAGCTCTGGATTGCACTCGCAGACACGGAGCGACTTGTTATATTGTAGCGCACGGCACCGCAACCGTGAAGTTTAGTTGTAGCGCAAGTGGTTAACAAGAGTCTTGTGAATTGTTTGAACTGGATATTCTCAATTTTTCTTTTGAGATGAAAAATAAACTTACATGTAAATTTATATCATGTTATAAATACTAACAGTATTCACAACATGATCAGTGAAATTTATAAGATTGAATAACTCATTTTGCTAATATCAGCATTAAATGCACCATTGTTCAAATTTTATCAATGATTAATATAGTTCAGCTGCTGATTATAATTGCAAATATATCACACTGCGATCTGCATAAATGAAGCAAAAGAATCATGATGCAACCTGTCTACAAACCTTACCTGAAAAATATCCCTTTCAGACCTTAAATCTGAGGAATTTACAATTTTGATTACATACATTAAATTATTTTCATATTATGCAATGTTTAACAACATATTGATACACAAAAACAATATTCAACTTTCCAATACATGTAATTCTAATTTTCATTTGTTAATATAATTTTAGAAACATTTGGAGTTCAATAGCATGCCTTTATGGAAATTCAGGCTATGCCCCCAATTATGAGTAACAATTAAAACACTATTAACATTTCACTGATATGCATATTTCATTCACATGGGCGGCAATCTGATGTTTTCAAACTATAGATGCTATATTTCTGTCCTTTTATTTTTCTTTAAAAAATCTTGTTACGGATCTGAAGTGTGTAGGATTAACTTCCTTGACCAAATTTTTTGTGAATGTTTAATTTTTAATAAATATTTCCTTTATCTCTGGTGCAGATGCATATTAAGAACTGCATTAAGTCTCGCTCGCTCTTTTCTTTCTTGTCTATTTCGTTTCTTAATTAGTTTGAAATACAGTAAATTATTTCGTTCATTAATATCAGATTATAAGTATGTGTTATATTTAATGCAATCATAGTCTGCTCTAAAGTTATATGCAAAAAAATCAATATTATAAAGGGCAATTTGAATATGATAGAACTAAATTTCATATTTTAAGTACGCATTCCAGTAGACAAATATTTTTACTGACATTCTATTTAAAATGCTGCACTAGGGAAACGTACAAATTATGAATTTTCAAAAGCCAAAATCGGGACTTGCGGTCACTTTAACTAGGAATCAAATCTTGATGAACTACCAGTGTTCAGTGGTCTTATTCACTCAATCATGTGGCTTAAATTACTGTTTGTGTATTACAATTTAGATTAAAATAGTGAACAAAAAAAAAAAATTTGCCCAGTAAAATTTTTTGTTTAATGAGCTTTTTACTACGAATTTTGGTAGTTTAGGTTGAATAGTAAAATGTTACATTAGATCATGGTATTTATTTAGAATTCACTGTTACTTCCTCATATAAAATAAATACCGGAAAAATATTCCTACAAAAAGATAGTTTTGTAAAAAATATCTCTGGATGAACTGTACCAGTTATCCATATTTACAACTTATACTGAAATACTTTGGATTATGAGAACTATTTAATACTTTTTTTATTCATTGCAAAATGTAGAGTAATATTCACTAGCATGTTGGCTATTAGCTATACATAAATCTAATTTTAAAATGTACAAAAGAGTCTGTTTTTGATTTCGATTGCGTATATAGCTCCTTAAAAAATAAATGGTATTTATACGATATACTTCAAAATGATTTCGAATTGGAAGTACAATTCTGTATGATGCAGGGAGAAAATTAATCAGCGTAAATAAGGTTTGGTATATATGCCTATGATTTTCATAAATAAAGATATAGCTTAAATTTATATTCGAAAATCCAGTTAATGAAATTATGCTCGTATCTCAATTCATGGTTTATTCCATTAATTCTCAATCTCTCTTTAAAATAATACACATTCAATACATCTCATATAATACAAATTATTGAATGTAACATTATTATTCAAGTTGTTAGCCTTGTTAATGCATAAATAACTTTTGTTAAAAATTATGACATAACATTAAATAATTTCTCTCAAAGCTTACAAAAAGATATAAACAATAATATATTTCTTTTGGGATTTTTCCCAAGAATAATAAAATACAATATCCCCCTAAGAAGAGTGATAAAATTATCTCTTATGAAAATGATACTGCAATGAACCTTTCTGCAAGTGTACTTATTATTCTGACGCTGAAAATCAATTTACATACTAACTCAGTGATTTTCAAATAAATTTGTATTCCTCTGCTTCCACCTAGTGCTGCAGCTTTTACTTTTCAAATGAAACATAAAAGCAAGAGAGTCAGGATCCCCCTGTGCTCACGTTTTGAGATTTTATGAGTGTATTAAAAAATACTGCACTTTTCTCATGATCGAAGCCCCATCAGTGGACGAGTAGTTAAGATGTAGTTCAATTTGCTTTTGGTTGAAACCCAGACGAATGGGCTGCCTGCATGTTTGGTTTTTCCCATATGTATGGTGAATTTGTTCCCTTTTCCTACAGAAAGTCCTTTTTTAAAAAGAGGACATAATTGTCAGTATAGAAAGTGCATGAATTTTTTTAATCTCATTAATAATTGTGAATTTTCTGTAGAACTATTTAACTTCTTTAAATGTTACATCAAATTAAGTTGATAAAATTTAGTGTAAATCATAAAGTAATTATTTATTTATAATTATTCTTCGAATCATTGTCAAACTTTTAAATATAATTATTTAAATAAGAAAACTATAGACGTATTTTTAAAAATGATTGGAAAAAAAATGTTGCTAACACATAAATGGAGAATAAGAAAGATTTTAAAGGTTTTAATGAATTTCAGTTCATCAAGAATCACCAGTCATTGGAGAAACAATGAAAATTGAACTAAATAAAAATGACTTGAATTCAGGTTACGCATGAGGAAACTCACAAAGACCCAAGCAGTTAACCCATTTGGTTGCCAGGAACCAAATCGATCACAAGCTACCAACGCTCAGCAGTCTTATTCAAGCAACTATAGTGAAATTCATTTTTTATATATTAATTATTAATAGCATTAAAATAATAAAAAATTAATTATAATACAAGTTAGTGATCCTTCCTTGTAAGGCATTTTCTTTGGTTAGGAGTTCGTGTGAATAATTAACGCTATATTCAGACAAAAACATCTATTTTTAACTTAATGCTTCAAAAAATGAATACTAGGAAAATTATCCCTAGAAAAAAAAAAATATCCCCCTAAAAATGAATCCCACAATATATATTTAATTATTCATATCCTTTATTAAACACATTATCATAATTATTAAATACAATGTTTGTTTTTATTTATTACAAAATGTTCGATCATATCCTTTCTTTAAAAAAATACCATATCGCACGATTATAGTATTTATGTGAGCTAATAAATTGCTTAGTTTATGCATAATAACAACAGTGCATTGTGATATTAATTATGTTCCACATTTCCTTTTCAGCTTTCAGTTTGTAGTCATCAAGTTACTTCTGAAGTAAGAAAACATGAAAAATGTGCAATGCCCTAGCCAGGACTTGAACCTTGACCTCTCGTATAGACGCTGAGTGTGCTAACTATTACACCAAGAAGGCATGCAAAAAAAAAGTGAGAAAATACCTTATAATTTATAAACGTAATGTTTTAATCCTATTTCACATGAAGTTTAGTGTTTCAGTGATAGGAAAGCAAGAATCTGTAAACTCAGTCAATTAATAATAAATTTCTAAGCTGCATGAATTTTTAAGTTCTGCAAGAATACCATTAAAAATGCAATCCTTAAAAAAGAAGTGAGTATTACTTTGGAACTGATATAGTTTGTACTGAGATTACAACAGCTATTCTTAAATCATTCATACTTTTCTTTTGGTAAATCACATTGTAAATTGTCATAGTTAATACCCATCCTTTTTCAAATCAGCAGTCCACATATAATTTTAAAAATGCTTCCCTTCACCCTGAATTTAAAACATCCAGTCACAAAGTTTTATGCTAGTGAATATTTAAATTTGTTTAATATATATTTTTCAAGCATATATTGCAGATTGAAAAACACAAAACTTTTCAGTTAGAGTAGATTTGGAGAAACTGCAGAATCACCCACTGCTTGGAGAGTTTTTAAGAATTGCACAACTCGGTATGTACACATCGACCTATTATCACACTTAAAAGAAAATCGGAGAAATACGCAAATTCGGCATTGTGCACACCCTTGACTTTGTCCATATGCACATCGATGTATTTTCACTTAAAAAGTCAAAGGAGATTGACAAAAATCCAATTCTTACTCTTGTAAAAAGCGCCAAATAAGTGGGTGATTCTACACTTCACCCGAAGATTTAAGGGTGCCCTATGGATTACTGCTAAGTTATTTCGTTTCTCGCCAAATTTTTGTTTCATTTATGGTAACCTGAGTAGTTTAATGTTATGAAAACCCTATTATGACTTAATTGGTTGTGTCACTGTGGTCAATCTAAATCGTGGGAAAAATTTGGAAAGTGTGTGTTGGATTTGGGATAAGTACGTTGTTATTTTGTGGTTTACATGGTCAAATGGCTGAATGTGGTAAGATTAATTTGAAGTTTCTATACGATTTTGAATGAAAGGGAAAAAAGCATTAATTGACTGGTGTGTAAACAAAGGTTTACTTAGTAGCCATTATTAAGTGTCCTGTTTGTAGGAAGGAAATGCAGATGGTGGAACGTCGGACGAACGGATGATATTTTTTATTCTTATTTTTGTGAATTTATGTGGCAATGCCAGAATACAGATTTTAGTTCAGATAATTTTAGGAAGTTTTTGTATGCTGTTAAGCAATTTTGTTTGACTGAAGACAGGGAAATTTCTAAATAAAGTAAGTGGATATTTCCTTTGTGCAGTGCTAAGATGAATAATTTTTTTATCTCATTTCATTGCTTGATTTAAAATGTAGTTTATTGAGATTATATATATATTGGCTGCTCCTTTGACTTTTTAAGTGAATATAGGCCAATGAGTACATTATTTGCATGCAAATGAAAAATATAGAAAAAGATGAAATTTATAAAGATATTTAATTTATGACAAAAAAATTTCAGAAAATATAAAATTCAAGAAAGCTATAAATACTGCTATTTGTATACTGTAGCAGTGTCACAGAAGGAATGAAAGATGTGCCAGTTAATACAGAATTTTATTAATAAATTATCATGCAATTTAATCGATCTGCACTGAAATCAGTGACTTAGAAATTTAGGTAACTTAGTCATAAAATGAATAATAATTAAAAATGAAGTGTGGTAAATTTTAAAAGCAATTTATTTGAAAATGAGATATTTGTGTGGAAGAAAATGCTTAAATTTTTTAGTTCTGAAACCTCCTATTTATGGAACGTTGATGAGTTGAACATTTGCTGGACCGTGGGAGTGGTCCATCAGAGAGAAGCTATTCATTTGCAACGTTCTTGACAGCTCGCATTTACTAATGTTTACAATGCGATCAATCTCTTTTAGGTAGAACAACTGATCTAAAATTCGGGGAGTGAAGCCAAATGACTATAGAGGTAGCTGGCATTTTTCAAATGTCTAGTCTTATTTTCCCGACGTCTTATGGGAAGTTGGGTCCAAAATTAGTGACACTTTTAAAGATATTTGCAGTAAATAGCTCAACAGGCTAAGGGTTACAGCATTAAGAGCAAAACTTGTACAATCAAATCAAAAAATTCAAATTACTTTGATTTTACTGTTCTTCCAAAATTAAAAAATGTCACATATTTTTTATAACACATTCACAATAAGTTCATACCATGAAAACATCCTTCATTTGGTCACTTTTCTTTTAGAACCTTCTGGGGTTATAGTAAACTTTAAGGTACCCCTTGTATTATGGCAAAGTTGTTTCATTTATTGCCAAGTTGTTGAGTAGCTGAATGTTATGGAAACCCTATTCTGATGTAATAGGGTGCTTTGAATCATGGATATATTGTACGCGCTTTTGTGGCGTGTGTTGGTTTTATTGTTTAGTAGGTAGAATGGCTGAATGTAGTAAGATTAATTTGAAGTTTCTGTACGATTTGGAAAAAAAGGGGTAAAGAGCATTAATTGACTGGTGTATAAATGAAGGTTTACTTAGTAGCCATTGTAAGTGTCCTGTATGTAGGAAGGATATGCAGCTAGTCGAACGTAAAAACTGTTTAGATGGATTTGAATAGGTTTGGAAGAAAGGTTCAGATGTGGCAATGCCGATATATGGATTCAAGTTCAGATAATTTTAGGAAGTTTTTGGATGCTGTTAAGGAATTTTGTGTGCCAAAGACTAAAGACGAAGGAACTTCTAAATAAGGTAAAAGTATATTTGCTTTTTGTAGTGCTTAAATGTATAACATGTTTTTTCTTTTTTATGTTATTTTATTGTTTCGTTTAAAATATAGTTTATTGAGATTATGAATTTTTTGTTTTCCTGTATTGTACAATTGGGTGCTCCTTTGACTTTTTAAATGAAAATATATTGATGTGTACATCGACAAAGTGAAGGGAGTGCGCAATGCAAGTTTGTGCAATTCTTGGATTTTTTTAAGTGAAAATAGGTTGACGTATAAATGGATAAAGTTAAGAGAGTGCACAATGCCCTTTTTGTGCAATTTGGGGATTTTTTTTTAAGTGAAAATATGTCGATGTGTACATGGATCCCGAATTTATGCAATTCTTTGTCCTGTTATTTGTGTAGCAGTGATTTTTGGCGCAAAAAATCACTGTTATGCACGCCAAAATAATAACTCAAAGAATTGCACACACTCGGTATCCATGTACCAGCAAAAATTCAAAAGGGGTACCCTAAACTATACTTTTACTCCTTTTGGAATCATAGATCTACAAATCTTGCTTTGAAATCCTTCTAATCCTTTGGAAGTGCAAGGTCAAAAAATTATCTGTCCCAACTCTGTAACAGTAAAATCCGGAAGACTTTTGAATAAAAAGCTCAGAAACAAACAGTATAAAGTGAATTTTTAAGAGAAAATTAATACACATTTAAATACTCTGAAATAACTACATGGAGGGAGGGGGAACCTGAATGCAAAAATATAAAAAGAAAAATGGAATTAACTTTAAAATGACTAAAATAGCTTTCCTGCTTTTGCTAAGAAATGCTTTTGTGTGTGCTATGAAATTGTGTTTCATAGCACTTGCATAGAGTTGTATTCGTAGCATTTATTACCTGATTTATTTTTCAGCATCAAAATATTCCTTAGTCACCAAAATTGAAACTAATGCCATTTTAAAATATGAGAGGGGAAAATAAGAAGGTTTTTTTTTAATGCTAATTCTTACTTACAATTTTAATATACCATCATTATTTAGTTAGAGTAGATGTAAAGGTGCCCCCTGTATTATCACAAAGTTGTTTCATTTATCGTCACATTGCTGTTTCATTTACGGTAAACTGAGTAGTTGAATGTCATGGAAACCCTATTATGACACAATTGGGGTGAATTTGACTGATAGGAAAAGATTTGTAAGGGCTTGTGGTGTGTGCCAGTTAGGAAGTACATTGCTGTTTTGTGGTTTGGATGCTAAAATGGCTTTATGTGATGAGATTAATTTGAAGTTTCTGTACATTTTGGAATGAAAGAAGAAAAGAGCATTAATTGACTGGTGTGTAAATAAAAGGTTTACTTAGTAGCCATTATAAGTGTTCTGTTTGTTGGAAGGAAATGCTATGGTCAAATGTCGGAGGATATTGGCACTACGGAGAATATTTTTTTACTCTTGTTTTTGTGAATTTATGCGACGACTCCACTATACAGATTCTAGTTCAGATAATTTTAGGAAGTTTTTGGATGCTGTTAAGCAATTTTGTTTGACTGCAGACGGAGAAATTTCTAAATAAAGTGGATACTTCCTTTGTGTAGTGCTAAGATGAATTTCCTTTTTTATGTCATTTCATTGTTTAATTTAAAATGTACTTTATTGAGATTATATATTTTTTGCTGGCTGCTCCTTTGACTTTTTAAGTTAATATAGATTGATGTGTATATGGACAAAGTCAAGGAAATGCACAGTGCCAAGTTTCTGAAATTCTCTGAATTTTTTTAGTGAAAATAGGTCAATGTGTACATGGATAAAAAGAATAGGCAATGTCAAGTTTGTGCAATTTTCTGATGTTGTTTTAAGTGAAAATAGGTCGATGTGTCGATACCGAGTTTGCACAATTCTTTAACTTGTTATTTTGGCTTTGTAAAGCAGCGATTTTTGGCACAAAAGCCAAAGGATTGCACAAACACAGTGGCCATTTACTGCCAAAAATCACCAATGGGCACCCATAAATATATTTTTACCCCTTATTTTAAGAATATTATAATTTAGTAATTCAATCATATTAAATCTTAAAAGAAAAAAAAATTGTCGAAAAATTCTGAAATATTTGGATAAAAAACTTATAAATTATCTTGAAATCGCCAAATGGTTATAATCATCAAATCATTTGCGGTTATAATCATCAAATTTAGCTATCCTTTAGTATACATTATGAATCATGGGTTTGGCAACTAACGACACGTTGTTCCCTTTGTATGTCTTAATTATATCATCAGTTGAAATCTAGTAAGATCGTATGAAGAAATTATAAAATTAAAATATGAAATCGTGATTTATGAAATAATTAAATATTTATGATCTACAGGGTATCAAAAATTTATAAAAAAAAAAGCTTAATATTTATTTGTTTACCTTATTAAACATTTCTTCCAATAGAAGTTGTTTAAGTTGCTTCGGTTTTTTATGCATACTTTGTCTTTAATTCTGTAGACAGACATAATCTCTTGTTTAGTTACATTGTTGATGTCCTGTAACTGCTGTTTCGAAAATTCCGACTAAGTTCTCTGTCACTTTCTTCACTATCGGTAGCGGTATTTTCTGGATCTAGAATACTCGACTTTGCCTTTGATGACTGATTTGCCATTGATTGTATCACAGTGAAACTCTTTAACATTATTATCCACTTTACTTCTTCAATCGTAATTGGGACTTCACTGTTTGCATACCGAAAAAAGATTCGGTTATATCTCAAACCTTAGTATATTATCATTGGCCTAACTTTAAACGTCTACGAGAGAAGGCACTTTTGGGATCATGAATCTGATCCTCCCGTCTTACGCGCATCTCAGTTTGCGCATCATGTGACGTTAACAGATACGTCAAAAATGTGTCTGTTTACATTTTGCATTTGACTTCGTGCGTTTTATGCTTCGTTAGTATGTGAATTTTGCTTTCACATATTTATAATGAACTGAAGAATCTCTCAATAAAAGACCCTTCTCACGGCCAAATACTTAGGAATATTGTGAGGATTCTGCTTCAGAATATTAGAATATATAGCACCAATTTAAATGAGCTGGGTGGTGATATCAATGATCATTCAAGACAATAGATCTGAAATTCACATTTCCGCTTTGATTACGATTGGTAACATCTTTCAGAAAACTGTAATTTCAAAATCTTACAACTGTTCTATTTGCAAAAAGTGTTTTTCAAATGCCAGCAATTTATAGCATCATTTGAAGAACATACATTCCAATAAAAAGCATATTTCTACTGCTGAAATATTTAATTCCAATTCAGATCATGCATTTTATAAAGTCGTCAATGGTAATTCGATTTCATATACTTTTGCTTCAAAATCCAGTATAACTTCAAAAAAGTTTTAGCTGCCCTGATTCCAAAAAAATGTTTCTCAAGTAACAGCAATCTAAAATGTCACTGCATGAAATTGCATATATCACAACAAACAACATTACTCAAAGCAAGTAAAAATAAAGTTTTCCAATTTAAATGCAGTTTATATAGTCGTCAGTTCAACAATAATAAAAATTTATTATTTTCACAATCAGATAGTGCATTTACTGCCCTTGAGTGTTCATCATTAAAAAATTATATAAATGCACATTATGTAATGAAGGTTTTCCAAAGGAAAACTTTTCATTACATTTGCAAATGGAACATGAAATAGTCATTGAAAAAGAAGAGAGAGATTTCTCTGTGTTTAATGATTTCATGTTGTGAAAGGAGAATTTTGAAATGGAAACATAATCTAAATTTTTTTAATTTACAAAGAAACATGACCCATTACATGTAAAAGATATTTATTTTTGTATGCCATCATTCAGGACATTATTTTATATCTAAAGTGCAAGGCATGGGACATTTAAAAATACAAGGGAGTAACAAAATTAAACTGGCTTACTGGGCTTATTGCCCAGTAAGCCAGTTTAATAATGGAAAATGTACTGCTTATATAGAAAAACCCATTGTAAGTCATAGAAAGGGTATAGGGCATCTGTCTCTTACAAAATTAGAACGGCAGTTATACCATTCTAATGTTAATTTATGTAACTTAAATTGCTGGAAAAGTATCTTTTGATGAAATTTTAGATAAAATTCAAGATTCTGTATATGATACTGCATCTTTTGACAAAGAATGATTTATGGAATATTGAAAATTCGGTACTCTTCCGTTATCAGAACCAGAATCAGAAATGTATGCATGTATGGCTGGATGGATGTGTTCATGTATGCATATATATGTGTACATATGAATGTATACATTTCTGAATCTGGTCCCAGTAACAGAAGTGTACCGAAAATTCTTATAATCCACAATCAAATGCTGTAAGGCATAAAAATGATTGTATAAATGTTAATGAAATGCCTGGGGTTAATGAAATTACTAGTGAGGATAACAACTCTATTTTATTTTATAAGCCTTAAAATAGAATTTTAGAAAGTTATCCTGAATTTTAAAATGATGATTTCACATTAATGAAAATGAATGACTCCCAGAGGCACTTTCTTCAGAAGTTGGGATCAGACTATATATGTATAAATGGTACACATAGGTTGAACGGTTACAGAATTGAATTAATCACACTGCTTTTACTTGATGCTTTGCTTCACGGCTTTCCCTGTGCATTTATTATTACAAACAGAACTGAGCAGGAAGTTTTGTCTGTTTTCTTTGCACATCTGAAAGATAAAGTATGTCAGTTAACACCCGAAGTATTTATGAATATGAATACAAGCTAGTTTTGGCTCACCAGCGGCCGAACGGTAAAGTCACTGAACGCTGGTAGTTTGGTCCGAGGTTCAAGTCCCTCAAACGGGCTGTCTGCATGGGCATTTCCATGTTTTTCCCCATGTGTAATGTGTATACGAGCCAGTTTCCCTTAGAATGTCCTCCACAAAGGCATCCCTCCCCTTAGGCAGATGGCCATCAAGTGCTTTGCCATAATAAAATAAACCAAACCAACAAACTAGTTTTGATTAAAAAGTCTTCCATGAAGGTATTTCTTCCCCCACATGATCTTTGCCATATTCCAGTTCCAACAATCAAATCAACACATTGTTATTTAACTACTTAATTTGAAGATTTTTGGGCCCACCAGCGGCCGAGCGAGCGATAAAGTCGCTGAACACTAGTAGTTCGGTCTGAAGTTCGAATCCCGTGAACGGGCTGGCTGCATGGGCGTTTTCGTGGTTTTCCCCATGTGTAACGTGTATAGGAGCCAGTTTTCCATAGAAAGTCCTCCACGAAGGCATCCCTCCTCTTAGGCAGATAGCCCTCGAGGCTTTGCCATAATCACACGCACACATTTTGAAGATTTTATAGCAGATTATGAAATATACAATATTATATTGATGCAAAAATATATTTTTTACTCAATTCTGGAGGAGGGGGCAAGTGTTCATTTTCCCGTTTCCTGCAGATTCCTACAGTCTAGCATTTTCAAACCTAAAACATGATAACCCTAAGTAACATATCACCATCATTGGTACGCATTAGAGCAAACAGATCACTAGAATTTGCATATCTTCTATGTCTATTTGCTTCAATATTAAATCAAAGTCTGTAATAGTTAATGTGAAAGGCTTGAAATAAAGCAGTATGCATGATTGTTTAGAGCTCATATTAGCAATATCATTATTGTTTAGAGCCTGTTCTCTGGAAGTAATTTACAGACTTGCTGGGAATTTTATTAAAAATGATATACTTTTCTGTAGTTGCTGCATAAAAAGTAAAAGCCGTGTGTTGGCCATCCCTGGTGTAGGACGGTAAGGATAAAAATTGCCTTTCTCTCGACATGTTGCAATGCAGTGAATATAACTGAGCTTTAACTTCAAATATCTTGAGTTATACTTTGTGCAGCAAATGAATGACATATGTGTTATCCCTGTTTCATTCTTACTTTTAACGCAATTCTAGTGCAGAACGTAGCTTGAGAGTTATACACCAGAAATATGAAATACTTGTCAGCTGGACTAACACCACAGATTTACACCAGTGGACAGGGCCGTCCCTAGGCCATTGGCTGCCTGTGTACTTTCCTAAGAATACAGTGCCCAAATTTAAAAAAAAAAATTCTTAATGATTAGTTGAATTTTTATTTCATACTCACTAAGTACTTATATGTGACAAATTGTATAAAAAGTATTTACATGTGACAAGTACAATGAATTAAAAATATTTAGTCGTGGTATCGCGAGTGTTCAGCTGTTGCATAATTTTACAGCTGCACCGCGCTAGGAACGGCCCCGACAGTGGAAGATAACCATGTTCAAATCATGACAAAATTACTTTGGCAACAACACAATCAACTGGCTATTAAATTGCTGGTGAAGGTTACTTATCAAGTTCCTATAATTAATAAATATCCTTATTCAGGACTTAATTTCTAAACTTAGAAGTGCCAGAACCCTATGCTAAACTGTCAGCAAAGGGGAAGAAAAGTAAATAAATAAATAAAATGACTGTTACAATCATTAATAATTTAAAAATTAAATAGTTAATTAATACCAAATTAATTCATTATTATTTAATTAATATTAATAATTATCAATTATTTTTAATTAATGATTGTTATTTAATTAAATAATTATTATTAAAAAAGCTAAATTATTAAGTAATTAAAATTAAGTAAATGTAAAGAGATAAATTAAAATTTAATAAGCAATTTGTAATACAGTTTTACTGCAAAAAATAAATTTTTGAAATCAAATTTTTTGTTCAGTTGCATAAAGAAGTAGCCTTTTTATTTATGCCTCCGGCTAATTTATGATTTATTCCAAAAACTAAGAAGTACCGGAATGCAATTTAAGCTTGTCTCTATTAACTTTTTAAATTATTATTTAATTAATATCAATAATTATCAATATTTTTAATTAATGATTTTATTAATTAAATAAATTATTATAAAAAGCTAAATATTAAAGTAATTAAAATTAAGTAAAATGTAAAGAGATAAATTAAAATTTAATAAGCGATTCGTAATACAGTTTTACTGCAAAAAATTAAATGTTTGAGATCAAATTTTTGTTCAGTTGCATAAAAGAAGTGCCGGAGCCTTCTTATTTAGGGCTCCGGCTATATTTATGATTTATTCCAAAAACTAAGAAGTACCGGAGCCAGGCTCCGGTGCAATTTAAGCTCTGTCTCTATTAACTTTTTAAAAAACTTACACATTTAGTCATTATGAATATCTTAAACTTCCATTAAGTTATAAGGTTATTCTTGGTCTAATAATGGAATTTTAGTCTTATAACCCTAATATAATTATCACTTGAGATATTATGACAAAGCTTTATGAAAGATTTTAAAACAACCTTTTTATTTAAACTGAACTTTTAACAAAACAGAGCATGGCCTGAACTTAGAGCATAACCACGGCTAGTGGCGATGCAAATAAATGCGAACAATCAAATAAATGAAAAATGTTGATCAGTAGTCTAAGAC